ATAAATTTAAAATTTGATAACAATTCAGATTTTAAAATGAGTAGATTATTCAGATCTAATTCTAGAGCTAGTACATCTAGATCTTCAGATTATTCTATGCCACATAGAGTAAATGAGGAAGAATTAGAAATAGAAGAAGCTAAAACAGACTGAAAAAAATGGAATATTCCTCCAGTTAAAGAAAAAAATATTTATAGCACAACTTGGGTTCAAAAAACCTTTAGTGAAGAACACCAAGTTAAAACTGTTGAACAAGTTCATCCTCTCAGAAAAGAAGATGAGCTTTGTGAGCTCCTCACTAAGGAGACTCTTAAGATTCACAAGGCCAAAGGATTTAATTTTATCCACATAGGTCTTGTCCAAGTGGCCATTAAACCACTTATCACCCAAGGTAGAAATGCTGCTGCCTTACTAGCACTAAGAGATGCAAGGTTTCTAGATTGGGAACCAAGTGTCTTGGGAATTATGGAGACAGGACTCCACAGGGGGCCAGTCTACTTTAACTGTTTCCCTGACTTCACCCTTGACCTCCATTGTCCTAACACACATATGGCACTAACTCTTGGTATCTGTCTTACAGGCGATATTACTAGGTTAGTAAAAAACACTAGTTCCATAGTACTTATTTACAGGATTTACTACAAGTGTATTCGTACTAATCTTAATGTACAATGCCTTGACCCAAGTCCTAAGGGAAGTACTATGTTGATACAAGCCAGTTCTGCACAGACCAACATCCAAATCCCAAAGCAGATACTTTGGAAAGATGTGACCCTCCCAGAGTCTTGGACCATGCAGAATGAAAATTTTGATAAAGAATCTAGTACCGAGTCAACTACAACTGATTTGGAGACTATTAGACAGCTCCCTGATGGATCAGTTAAAATATCTTTTGATACTGCTAGATCCAGTAGATCTAGTAGGTTCATACCCAGGCATGATCAGGTTCCTGAAGGAAGGAAATCTGATTTCTCATCTGTTTCCCATAGAGACAGAGAGATTGCCAAAGAACTTGACCATAGGTTAAAAGGAATCGCTAATTCCTCAGACCCAGTAGCTAGACCAGTATACACTCCCATAAGTGTCCCATTAAGGTCTAGATACACAGAATTCAAACAAACAGAGAATGATGAATTCACTCCTTCACCTTCTCTGTCACCCACTGCTAGTGCCTTTGATGGAAATGTAGAATCCAGCAAAATCCATCAATTATACACTATCACTAGGGAAAAAGAATTTTTTATGCCTGATATTTACAAGTTAAAAAAGAATTTCAAAACCCCTGAGAACAGACCTCTTAGGAAAGCTTTTGAATCTTTACCTTGTAAAACCCAGGAAACCATTAAAAAAGAATGGGTTAAATTAATGTATAAATTAGAATCCGAAATTGCTTTTGAAAACTACTTAAAAAACTTCCACAAAGAAGTAAAAGTAGTAACTCAGCAAAATTGGAAAACAGAATCTGCTATAGTGACCTTTAGTCACCCTCCAGCAGAAACCATTGAAATCAAATATGCTACCAAAACTGTTACTGCTACTCCCTTTAAGATTCCAATTTTAGAATCTGAAAAGAAGATAGTCGAACAGGTCAATTTCACCAACCAAAGCCTAATTACTATAGGTAAACAGTTGGATAAAATTGAAACTAAAATAGATGAAATTAAACCACCTTCAGTAGAAAGACCTTTAGTCAACCTACCTGAAGAAAGGAAGAATTTAGGTTTAAAAGATAAAAACCTAATTCAACAAATTGATGCACTTTTATCTAAGAAGGAATCCACCAGTACTTCTCAGATAACAGTCATCAACCAAACTGAAGAAAGTTCAGAGTCTAATGCAGAATCTGATAGTCCGGAAGACACCACTGATTCTAACTCTGAAATTGAAAATTTAGAAAATCAGTTTAGGGATCACAGTATGACCCAACCTGATTCTAAAATCAATGCACTGGTTAGAGTCCCTACCAGCTCCACAAAGAACTGGTATTCCAGCCTGCGATCCACTCTTTGCCTCACACGGGACTTACGGTCGGGATAAGGTGCGGCTTACGTACTCTTGAGGGTCTCAACTAAGGTTGGGTACTAGAGTGCTAGCTTACAAATGAATTTAAAAAGTGGAACAAATAAAGATTTCTAGATGAGTTAGATGACTCAAATGGAATTGCAGAGGTAATACACCAGGCCGTCAAATGGCTCTGATACCAAATAAAAGGACATGCGGAATTTTAGAGGAATAACGAAGAATATGGAACAGATATGAAAACAAAATATTCAATTAAAGAAAATAAATACTTACAACACTAGAACTAATGGTCTAGTGGAAATAAGCAGTGATAGAGGTGCAGCACTTCTTTTGCATCATGAAGAAGGCTTACAAGTAATAGGTATGATTACAAAACTAGGGGGTTTGTAATGATCTCTGAAAAACCAGACTAGAAAGGGTCTGAAGTTTTCAAAGCTTGCTTAACAGAGAAGAGGAGGCTGCCTTATATAGGGAAAGGGGCTTCCGGACTTCAACTGAGTCTTCAAATTCTTTAAAAGTTTCTTTCATTACTTTCGGCTACTTTTGGGCTGGAAAGTAAGATAAGATTCTTTTACTTGGGTAAAAGGACAGGCAGAGTGGACTAGGGGTCCTGGCTGTCTGAAGAATCTCTGCTTTTGGTGGAAAGTAGTCAACCTGAAGGGACTAGAGGGCCCTACTTGTCAGAGGCATCTTACTTTCGGTGGAAAAGCAGATCTGTCTGTGAGAATCCTGCTTTTAG